TTCCGTAAACCCTAAACCCTCAAATTCCCAAGTTCTCAACTGCTGTATTACCCGAGAAACCCTAAACCCTAATAATCCTAGAAACCCTAAACCCTCGAAACCCTAAACCCTAAACCCTTGATTGTTTGTGGTGTATATGCAGCTTGCTAGTATGCGAATAGTTGAGGTGTATCTGCACCTCCCTCCTCCTGATCAGCCATTGCATGCATCTGCTACTGCTGCTGGTGGTGGTAAAAGGAAAGGAGCTGCCTATACACCTGGAGGTGCTGCTGCTGCTGTAAACCCTAGCGTTGACGAACCAGGAGGAGACACAGAAGTTGCAATCATTGCACCTGTATGTTCCCTTCTGCTGCTGCTGCTGCTGCTGCTGCTGCTCCTGTTGGTGCTGCTGCTGTTGCTGCTGCTGATTATTTACGACGGCTTCTGCCTGCTGCTGCTGCTGATTATCCTTCGTTTTGCTGCTCCTGCGTTTTGCTGCTGCCGTCTGCTGCTCATTCCTTCCTGTGTATTTGCTGCTGCTGCTGCTGCTGCTGCTGCTGCTGCTGCAGATTGACGACCTGGTGGCTGCTTTCCTCAGAGACGAGGATCTTGATGGCTTACCGCTATAATATTTTCTCTTGGCTTATCCGCAGCAGCAGCAGCAGCAGCAGCAGCAGCGAGAGCAGTAGCAGCAGTTCGCTGCTGCTGCTGCTGCTGCTGCTGCGCAGTTGCTTCTTTCCTTGTTTCACTCTAACCACCCAGCAAAGCCTCTGGGCAAATGCATGCACGCATGCATGCATTTTTGGGGCTTATATGGTGCTGCTGCTGCTGTACCAGCAGCAGCAGCAGCACCAGCTGCGTGCTGCAGTATACCCGCAGCAGAGCTGCTGTGTCTGTACAGCTCTAGCGGCAGCAAACCCTAAACCCTCAGGGTCTGCCTCGCAGTGTATTACTAAACCCTAAACCCTAAACCCTAAATATTTTTAATGTACAGGGAGTAACTTAGATGCATGCAGCAAACAAGTTGCTGCAGCCCCATCTCTGTAGAGCAGCAACAGCAGCAGCAGCACCACCACCACCACCAACAGCAGAAGCAAAAAGCACATCCGCTGCAACTGTTGCAGCAGCAACACTAATTGGTCTTGCTGCTGTTTGTTCTTTGCTGCTGCTGCTGCTGCGCTGCTCTCCTTTTTACCTTCTGCTGCCTAACACAAAGAGCAGCAGATATACACTGCAGCAGCAGCAAATGTACACTGTAGCAGCAGCAAATGTACACTGCAGCAGCAGCAAGTGTACACTGTAACAGCAACAGCTGCAACGAAACAGCAACAGCAACAGCAGCAGCAGCAGCAGCAGCAGCAGCAGTATTTCAGCATGTGGTGTGCATACACGTGCGAGTCTAGCTAGCTAATTAGTTAGTTAGTACCTATTTGTCTAGCTAGCTAGCTAGCTAGCTAGCTATCTATATAGATATAGAGGAGGGTGCAGCAGGCACGTCCTTGGCTAGCCAGAGGCTCTCGCTGCCAGTTGACTGCAGCAGCCTGTGGCTTCAGAGAAACTCTAAACCCTAAACCCTAAACCCTAAACCCTAATTCCTAAACCCTCGGGTTGCCGTAGTGTGGCATATCCTTAGGCAAAAAGGATATATATTTAGAGAATTAAATTACTTCTTATGTGGAGTGCTAAATAAAAAAGGAAGCTTAACTTTTAGGGTTTAGGGTTTAGGGTTTAGGGATTAGGGTTTAGGGTTTAGGGTTTATTAGGGTTTAGGGTTTACAGGAGGCCCACCGAACGGGGAGGCCCCCAGTGGCTGCTGTCGACGACGGGTTGCATGCAGGCATAAAAGGGGGTGTCTTAATGCTTTTTATGTTTAAATTTGTTTTAAGGGTTTAGGGTTTAGGGTTTAGGGTTTAGGGTTTAGGACTGGTAGCTCCCCTTTACGCGCCACGATCGCGAGCGACTGCCGTTGTCCTGTTTGTTCATCAGGGTTTAGGGTTTAGTGTTTAGGGTTTAGGGTTTAGGGTTTGCATGCTCAGCAAATAAATAAATAAAACCTTTTTAAATTGTATTTGTTGTCTTGCTGCCATCCCTGCAGCACAGCTGCTGCAGGGCGCGCTCATTTGCAGCAGCAGCAGCAGCAGCAGCAACAGCAGCAGCAGCAGCAACAGCAGCAGCAGCAGCTGTTGAGGCCTTCTTTGCAGTGGCAACCGCAGTGCCAGCAACAGAAACAGCAGCAGCAGCACTAGCAGTTGCTGCTGCTGCTGCTGCTCCAGCAGCAGCAATGACACTCATACAGCAGCAGCAGCGCAGCGCCTAATCTTAACCATGACATGTGCAGCAGCACAGGAAGCTGCTGCTGCTGCTGCTGCTGCAGCACCACCATCTGCAGCGTCCAAGAGCAGGAAAAGCCGCCGGACCCGTAACAGCAGCAGCAGCGTAAGCAGTAGCAGTAGCTGCAGCAGCAGCAGCAGCAGCAGCAGCAGCACATGGTGGTCTCCCCTGCATGTGCGCCGAGCGCAGCTGAGGCGGACTTTTGAGGAGATCCTGAGTAGTACAGACAGCAGCAGCAGCAGCAGCAGCAGCGACAACATTGGCAGCAGCAGCAGCAGCAGCAGGATTGGCAGCAGCATCAGCGCCATAACAGCAGCAGCAGCAGCAGCAGCAGCATCCGTTGCGGGTGATTTGCCGCAGCAGACACAAAGCGGTCCTCTCTTCCTATCCCCTGGCATACCCCAGCCAGCAGCAGCAGCAGCAGCACAAGCAGCAGCAGCAGCAGCAGCAGCTTCTGTCCCGTTAAGTCCTGTATTGGCGGATGCTGGTAGACAAAGACGCAGCGCATGCAACAGGTGCAACAGCAGCAGAAACAGCAGCAGCAGCAGCAGCAGGTGCAGCTGCTGCTGGGGTGTATCCTCTCGCTGCCTAGAAGGAGCGTCTGTCTTATCAGGTGACACGAATGCAGCAGCAGCAGCAGCAGCAGCAGCAACAGCAGCAGGAAGTATAATATATCCAGATATAGATGAGACGGAGGTGTATAAACAGCAGCAGCAACAGCAGCATCAGCAGCATCAGCAGCAGCAGCAGCAACGACAGCAGCAGCTGCTGCTGCAGCAGGTGCAGCAGCACGGCATAGAAAGACGTCAGAGCAGCCGTCAAGGAAATGTATCGCACACAGCCGTAGCTGTATCCTCTTCCCCAGCAGCAGCAGGATCAGCAGCAGCAGCAGCAGCAGCAGCAGCAGCAGGAGGAGGACCAACAGGAGGAGTAAAACAGCAGCATAGAGAAGAATTTCATCGTTTTGTTGCTGCAGTACTGCAGCAAGAGATGGATCGTAGTCTTCTCCCTTTTGCGGTGTATAGACTGCATGCAACAGCAGCAATATGTATAACATGGGGGGTTTTGCTGCTGCTGCTAGGGTTTATGCTGCTGCTGTTTTCCTTACAGGCACAAGAAATAGTATTAACATACAGCAGCAGCAACAAGGATGGATATACACTCCCTTTTCAGGTGTATAGGCAGCTAAACCCTCCTCTATTCATCTATTATAGGCTCAGAGGGTTCTATGCTAATTATAGACCCTTTCTTAAGGATGGACCTCCACAACTTAATTCATCTTATAAATGTGAAGGTAATAAACCCTAAACCCTAAACCCTAAACCCTAAACCCTAATTTTACACCAAACCCTAAACCCTAAACCCTCAAATTTACATTTTACAACCATAGATAGGCTTTATAAACCCTTTCTTAAGGGTGGACCTCCACAACTTAATTTATTATGTAAATGTGATGGTAATAAACCCTAAACACTAAACCCTAAACCCTAATTATACACCAAACCCTAAACCCTAAACGCTAAACCCTAAAATTTCACACCCGTAAAACCCTAAACCCTTTTTTTTTTTATTTTTTTTAATTTATTTATACATATAATAAATAAATAAATAAATAATATTTATATTTATTTATTTATTTATTTATTTATTTATGTATACAGTAATAAAGACACAACAAGAGGCGTTATCCCTTCGTTTAATAGATGGTGTACAAACCCTTCCCCCTTTATTACGGGAGGTGGGATCGGGCGATCCCATCGATCCCACCGCTCCCGAGGCGTTCCCCTGTGGTGCCCAAGCTGTCTCCTTATTTAATGACGAGGTCTCCTTCAAGCAGCAGCAGCAACAAGGACAAATTGTCTCCCTCCCTCTTGATTTCAATTCTACACCCTATAAATGGGACTTCTTACAATTCATGGTTAGGGTTTAGGGTTTAGGGTTTAGGGTTTAGGGTTTAGGGTTTACAAACACTTATAAAAGGATTTACAAGGGTTTATGAGGGTTTATACTGGGGTTAATGAATGCGTATTAGTTGGTTTATATACTCCTTATATATATAATCTATGGTTTATATATAATTTAGGGTTTAGGGTTTAGGGTTTAGGGTTTATGATGTATATTATATGCAGGTAAAGAATTCAACATGGGAGGATGAGGGTTTACAACCCTGGATCCTCCCCTCAGACCCTAAATTTAGGGTTTGGCTCCATCCTCCATTAACCCCAGACTTTCAGAAACTTTATGCTGTCTTATGGGAACCCTTATTACCAGGAGTACAATATTATGCTGTACTTACCAAAAATAGTAAACCCTAAACCCTAAACCCTAAACCCTAAAACACTTTCTTACACGCAAACCCGACTCTCAGGGATTCAATATTCACCTCTAGTCATAACAAACCGTAAACCCTAAACCCTAACACTTATTTCTACCTTTATTACCACGAGTACAATATTATGCTGTACTTACCAAAAATAGTAAACCCTAAACCCTAAAACCCTAAACCCTAAACCCTAAACACGCATTTAGGAGGAAACGCTACTCACAGGGGTTCAATATTAGGTTCTATGCATAAAATATTGTAAACCCTAAACCCTAAACACTAATTTCAACCTTTATTACCAGCAATACAATATTATGCTGTACTCACCAGAAATAGTAAACCCTAAACCCTAAACCCTAAACACTTATTTGGGCAGAAACGCGACTTACAGGGGTGCAGTATTAGGCGGTATGCACAAGAAATAGCAAACCCTAAACCCTAAACCCTAATAATAGATTGTACTCTTATATCAACTGCTGCAGTCTTCGGGTTTGGGGTTTTGTTGGAGTTTAGGGTTTATATGGGGCTTGGAGGGTTTAGGGTTTAGGGTTTAGGGTTTAGGGTTTGTGCAGAATGGCCTGCTGAGGCATGGGGAGCATCTAAGGCATTTGTTATAGCGGGGTTAACTCCTATGGGGGGAGCAAACCTCCCTCTTGCTGTTGTTACTCTTGCTGCAGGTATTTATACTAAACCCTAAACCCTAAACCCTAATTCTTAAACCCTAAATAAACCCTAAATAAACCCTAGAGGTCCTAGTGGGGGGGCACAGAACCACATATATATACCCCACCATAAACCCTCCCTGCTGCTAAACCCTCGCTGTTGCTAAACCGTTGCTGCTCCTGCTAAACCCTTGCTGCTGCTGCTAAACCCTTGCTGCTGCTGCTGGCTGCTGCTGCTGCTAAACCCTCGCAGGTGCGCTGTGTATTCTGGTGGTGGTTGTTCTCTTCGTCATGAAGAGATTTAAAGTCCAATTTGTCAGCAGTACAGGTGAGGGTTTAGGGTTTAGGGTTTAGGGTTTAGGGTTTAGGGTTTACTGTGGCTTCACTATTAAAGTCTCCCTCTTAACTGACTGCCCACCAGAGACACCTTAGGACCTAGGGTTTAGGGTTTAGGGTTTAGGGTTTAGGGTTTTTGTGTGGTTGCAGCTCGAGGAGTGAAACTGAAGACAGAATCTGCATCAGGTAGTTATGAGGGTTTAGGGTTTAGGGTTTAGGGTTTAGTAGAGTGCCCGTTCGTGTAGTGTTGCAGCAGCAACAGCAACAACAACAGCAGCAGCAGAAGTGTTTGCACCGCTTATCTCCTGCTGCTGCTGCTGTTGCTGCTGCTGCTGCTGCTGTGTCTGCTATTATAGGTGGAGACAAGTCTAAGCGGAAGTCTACTGCTGGTGGTGGCGATGCTGCTGCAGCAGATGCTGCTGCTGCTGCTGCTACTGCTGCTGCTGCTGCTGATGGTTCAACAGGGGAATCAACAGAAGCAGCAGCAGCAAGATTGCTGCAGTTGCTGCCTGCTGCTGCTCCTGCTGCATGTCTTTGTCCTGGTCATTGTAAGATAATAGATGATGGATCATGGGATACTCTTGTTATTCGTGGTTCCCTTGCTGCTGCTGCTCCTGCTGCTGCAGCCCCTGCTGCTGCTGCTGCTGCTGCTCCTGTTGCAGCAGCTCCCCCCGCTCCTTCTCCCGCTTCTCTTGCTGTTCCTGTTCCCTCTGCTGCTCCTGCAGCAACAACAACAGCAGCAGCAGCAGCAGCAGCACAAACAGATCAGTGGGGAGGAGAAGGACTAGAATTGAATGCATCTATTGATATGGACGAAGAAGGAGACAGAACAGATGATAGCAGCAGCGAGTAGCAGCAGCAGCAGCAGCAGCAGCAGCAGCAGCAGCAGCAAGTGCAGCAACAGCAGCAACAGCAGCAACAGCATCAACAACAACAACCGCTATATACTTTAGCTGCTGCAGCAACTGCAGCAGCAAAAGTACCATCCATACACCCTAACGGATAATATAATTTAGGGTTTATTTCCGCAGCAACCGATAGCTTGGGGTTTAGGGTTTAGGGTTTAGGGTTTGCATATATTTTTCTTTTTGCATGCAAACCCCCGGCGGGAAAAAAAAAATATTTTAAATGTTTGTACAGTTTATTAATTAATTAATTAAATTAATTAATTAAATTAATTAATTAATATAATTAATTAATTATATTAAGTAAATAAATATAAAATATATTTATTTATACTTATTGTTGTATAGAGGGGGAAAAAATGTTTATTTATTTATTATCTATAAACAAAAATATTTAATTGTTTATTGTTATTATTTATTATTATTATTTTTTTATCTATTTTTAGTACTATATTAGTGCTGCAGCAGCAGCAACGGCTGCAGCAGCAGCAACGGCTGCAGCAGCAGCAACGGCTGCAGCAGCAGCAGCAGCAGCTGCTGCTGCTGCTGCTGCTGCTGCTTCAGTTGTGTAAGCAGCACCTCTATTGGCGTTTTTAGTAACAAAGTAAAAAACAAAAAGTCTGCTGCATATATAACGCATGCAGCCCCAAAATGCATGCATGCATGCATGCATGCATGCAGCAGCAAGAGCAGCAGCAGCAAACTGCGTTGCATCATTTGCTGCTGCTTACCGTGGGCCTTTCCCCACTGTAAAGCCCATCTAGCTAGCTAGCTAGCTAGCTAGCCAGCTAGCTAGCTAGCTAGCTAACTACCCCGCCTAGCTAGCGATTGATTTATCTAGCTAGCTAGCTACATGGCTAGCTGGATATATTTATCCAGCTAGCTATCTATATGTCTATCGAACTATTTAGCTAATTAGCTAGCTAGCTAGCTAGCTAGCTAGCTAGCTAGCTAGTTATATATAATGACAGTTGAGTGCGGTGGTGCCGGGAGTTTATGACCCCCCGACACCCCCAGGAGTCAGTCATCCTTTTTTGCTTCTGCTGCTGTTGCTGCGCTGCTGCTGCTGCTGCTGCTGCTGTTGCTGCTGCTGTTGCTGCTGCTGCTCCAGCCGTTGCCAATATTGCTGCAGGTATCGCTATTGTTAGTTGTACTGTTATCTGCTGCTGTTGCTACTGTAGCAGCAAACTTGAACTCTAGTTCTGTTGCTGCAGCAGCAGCAGCAGCAGCACGAGCAGCAGGAGCAGCAAGATCAACACGCCAGCTGCTAAGAGGCATTTGCTGCAGTTGCTGCACTCGTCTTGTACAAAAGAATAACCAACATAAACCTGCATATACACCACAACACTACACTTGCTGCTGCTGCTGCTGCTGCCAATGCTGCTGCTGCACTTGCTGCTGTTTCTGCAGATGCTAGATGCACAAATTATCTAATCTCTGACCCTAAACCCTAAACCCTCCTAAACCCTCCTAAACCCTAAACCCTCCTAAACCCTAAACCCTCCTAAACCCTAAACCCTACCGAGGATGAAGCATCCGCCAATTTGAACAAAATATCCATCCAATACAACTGGGCACTTCGCACCAGCAACTGATGCTGCAGCACAAAGCAGCAGCAGCAGCAGCAGCAGCAGCAGCAGCAAGTGTAGCAGCAGCAGGTGCAGTAGCAGCAGCAGGTGCAGCAACAGTAAATGCAGCAGCAACAACTGCAGCAGCCTCATCGACAGCAACAAAGCAGCAACAACAGCAACATCAGCACCAACAGTAGCAACAGCAGCAGCAGCAGCGGCAGCAACAGCAGCAGCAACAGCAGCAGCAGCAGCAGCAGCAGCAGCAACTTACTGTCAACACCGGTGCAGTCTCTGATGGTGAGAGGATCCATCAACCACAAACTCACAGCACGAGGCCACTGAACAACAGCACAAACCCTAAACCCTAAACCCTAAACCCTCCTAAACCCTAAACCCTTCTAAACCCTAAACCCTCCTAAACCCTCCTAAACCCTAAACCCACAAAAGAATGCGCTTCCTTCAAGCTCCCCTCTACCTGCTGGTGCCACCGCCAAGTCTGTATCCCTAAAACCCTAAACCCTAAACCCTAAACCCTCGTAAACCCTAAACCCTAAACCCTAATTACCTGTGATCCAATATTAGCAATAGTGTTTAAGAAGGTCATATAAGATCCACCAATACGAGGATCAGAAACCCTAGCAAAGAATGCCATCTGCAGCAGCAGCAGCAGAGCAGCAGCAGCAGCAGTAGCAGCAGAAGCAGCAGCAGCAGCATATAATATAATATAATAAATATATACATATAGCTAGCTAGCTGCACACTTATCTAGATATATCTGTAGCTAACGAGCAAAGCTATCTATTTAGCTAGCTAGCTAGCTAGCTAAATAAATAAATAAATAAATAAATAAATTAAATAAATAAATAAAATAAATAAATAAATAAATAAATAAATAAGATTCTTACCATGGATACAAACATAAGATCAGAACAAACATTATAAATAGATGTAATAAAAAAGAGACAAATATAAAATATTAAGGAATTGTCTCCTCCGTATAATATAGGCGTAAGGGCTACTGCACCTGCAGCAGCAGCAGCACCAGCAGCAGCAGCAGCAGCAGCAGCAGTAAGTGTATATTGTATATATCTATGTAGGTGTTATGAGTGTAAATAATCCCCTACTAGGGTTAGGGTTTAGGGTTTAGGTAGGGTTTAGGGTTTAGGGTTTACTACGAAGGGACAAATAATGCCAAAAGGTATAAGAATAGGAGGAAGAAAGGCGGCTTATTATTTAGAGTTAGGGTTTAGAGTAAATTTAGAATTTAGGGTTTAGCAAGGGTTTAGGGTTTAGGTAGGGTTTAGGGTTTAGGGTTTAGGGTTTAGGTAGGGTTTAGGGTTTAGGGTTTAGGGTTTACTAAGAAAGGACAAATAATGCCAAATGGCATAAGAAGAGGAGCAAAAAAAGCAAGTTGCTCCTTGGATACACCTCTCTCTATTATTTTTAATTGTGTTGCTGCGTCTGCTGCAGCAAACCCTATTCTTGCTGTTAGCAGCAGCAGCAGCAGCTGCTGCACTGGTACTAAAAATAATAACTGGATACATATACATAAATAAACACAATTAATTAATTAATTAATTAATTAATTAATTAATTAAATTAATTAATTAATTAATTAATTAATTAGTATTTATTTATTTATTATATTTAAATTAATAAGAGGAAAGAAAAAGAAAGGAGACAAAAAAAGGAGACAAATAAAAAGGAGACAAATAAAAAGGAGAAAAAAAAAGGAGACAAAGAAAAAAGGAGACAAAAAAAAGGAGAAAAAAAAAAGGAGACAGTTTACCTTCCATAGGAGACGATAAGAGTCTAGTGCTCCCTTTGGTTCACAACATCCTTCTTCTTCATTAACTAAACCCTCAGCACTGTATATATATACAAACCCTAAACCCTAAACCCTAAACCCTAAACCCTAAACCGTAAACCCTAAACCCTAATTCATGTAGAGACATATACTGCTGATTGAATATTTATGTATGTTGTGTAGATACTTGTGGTACTGTTGTTGTTGTTGTTGTTCCTGCTGCTGTTAGCATATTGTAGTTAGGGTTTAGGGTTTAGGGTTTAGGGTTTACTTGGGTGGTAAGACATTATCAGAGAAGAAATGTATCTCTTCTCCTCCGCTGATTGGTCCTGCATAAGTTTGTGCCTCTACATGTCTAGATGGTGTAAACCTTTGCTGCTGTTGCTGCTGCTGCTGCTGCTGCAGTGTATGTATTTGTTGCAGTTGCTGCTGCTGCTGCTGCTGCTGCTGCTGCTGTTTATCTGTTGGATTTTCTTCCTTAAAGAAAAGTAATATTACTGTTGTTGTTATAACAAACACCCAACCCCAAAACCTAACACACAACAACAACAACACAATACTCTCCTCCTCCTCCTCCTCCTCCTGCTGCTGCTGCTGCTGCTGCTGTTGCTGCTGCTGTTGCTGTTGCTGTTGCTGGAAGAGTTAGGGTTAGCGTTAGCAGCAACACAACAACAACAACAACAACAACAACAACAACAACAACAACAACAACAACAACAACAACAACAACAACAACCACAACACCAACAAAAAACAGCAGCAACAACAGCAGCAACAGGAGGAGGAGGAAGAGGATGAGGAAGAGGAGGAAGAGGATGAGGAAGAGGAGGAAGAAGAGGAAGAGGAAGAGGAGGAAGAGGAAGAGGAGGAAGAGGAAGAGGAGGAAGAAGAGGAAGAATAATAATAAAGAATATAATTACCTAATAAAGGAAGGTAGATCAACAGCAGATTGTCCTTGTGGTGTCCCTAAGAAACGATGAGAGAAATGTTGATCATTAAGGGATAAGAAAGCAGCATAAGATAAACAATAACCAAGGGTTTGTCCTACTGTATTACATGTAGATGCTAACCTATACATACATATACACACACAAACATTAGCAGCAGCAACAGCAGCAACAGCAACAGCAGCAGCAGCAGCAGTAGTAGTAGCAGCAGCAGATGGAGATGCAGATGTAAATGCAGCAACAAAAGATAAACAAATAGTGCTGCAACAGCAACAGCAACAGCAACAGCAGCAGCAGCAGCAGCAGCAATGATAGCAACAGTAAAAGAACAGCAACAGCAGACATAGAATATATAAATACAATAGAAAATACATCAACAGCAACAGCAGCAGCAGCAACAGCAGCAGCAGCAGCAGCAGCAGCAACAGCAACAGCAGCAGGAGATTGTATTGTTTACCCTTTGTTCTCTGGGCTAAGAAGAGTTAATGCCCAACCATCAACAGCAATATCCTGCAACAACAACAACAGCAACAGCAACAACAGCAGCAACAGCAGCAACAGCAGCAGCAACAACAACAGCAGCAACAGCAGCAACAGCAGCAGCAACAACAACAAATGATAAACAAGTGTCTCCTGCACTCTAGCAACAGCAGCAACAGCAGCAGCAGCAGCAGCAGCAGCAGCAGCAGGGGGAAGAGAAGAGGAAGAGGAAGAGGAAGAGGAAGAGGAAGAGGAAGAGGAAGAGGAAGAGGGAGAGGAAGAGGAAGAGGAAGAGGAAGAAGAAGAGGAAGAAGAGGAAGAGGAAGAAGAAGATTATTATTATAATTATATACCTGTGTAGCCATAAGGAAGTATAAGAACCCAAAGAAAAGACTTAATAATACAACTTGTGGCTCACCCTTACCATCATCACCCTCTATAACAATAATAACAGCAGCAACAGCAGCAACAGCAGCAGCAACAGCAACAGCAACAGTATAATATACACACATACTGCAACAGCAACAGCAACAGTAGCAGCAACAGTAGCAGCAAAAGGAGCAGCGCAGCAACAGCAACAGTAGCAGCAAAAGGAGCAGCGCAGCAACAGCAACAGTAGCAGCAAAAGGAGCAGCACAGCAACAGCAAAAGTAGCAGCAAAAGGAGCACAACAAAAGCAGGAAGAACAACAGGAGGAACAATAGGAGGAACAATAGCAGCAAGTGCAGCAGCAGCAGCAATAAGCAGCAAGAACACAATAGTATGTATTATATATACCACCAATCCATGTATGTAATAAGGAATTATTATTAGAGATGCAGCAACAGCAAAAGCAGCAAAAGGAGCACAAAAAAAGCAGGAAGAACAACAGCAGCAATAGCAGGAACAATAGCAGCAAGTGCAGCAGCAGCAGCAATAAGCAGCAAGAACAATAGTATGTATTATATATACCACCAATCCATGTATGTAATAAGGAATTATTATTAGAGATAATAATCATAAATAATCCACAAATATATTGGAGGGGAATCAACCAACTACGACGACGACCTATTATATCCAAATAACATCCATCTACTATTGGGGCCCATAATAGCTTTATACTGCAGCAGCAACAGCAGCAACAGCAGCAGCAACAGCAGCAGCAATAGGAGGAGGAGCAGCAATAGGAGGAGGAGCAACAGCAACAGATATAGGAGGAAAAACAAGAAAAAACGAGCTATTATACTCATATATATTCATGATCTATTATATCTATATAACATCCATCTACTATTGGGGCCCATAAGAGCTTTATACTGCAGCAGCAACAGCAACAGCAGCAACAGCAACAGGAGGAACAGGAGGAGCAGCAACAGCAATAGGAGGAGCAGCAACATATATAGGAGGAAGAGCAAGAAAAAAAGAGGTATTATACTAATATATAATCATGATCTATTATGTATATATAATATCCATCTACTATTGGAGCACAAAGGATATTTATACTGCAGCAGCAACAGCAACAGCAACAGCAACAGCAACAGCAACAGCAACAGCAGCAGCAGCAGCAGCAGGAGCAGGAGCAGCAGCAGCAGCAGAAGAAGAGGTATTATACAACTATAATGATGACATATTATGTCTAGGTATCTACTATAGGAACACAGACAAGATTTATACTGCAGCAGCAACAGGAGGAGGAGCAGCAGCAGCAACAACAACAGGAGGAGGAACAACAGCAACAGCAACAGCAACAGCAACAGCAACAGCAACAAAAACAGCAGCAGCAACAGGAGAGGAGGGAGGAGAGGGAGGATGAGAGGGAGAAGGAACAGATACACCAAGGCTATTTTATAACAAACAGTAACAGCAACAGCAACAGCAGCAACAGCAGCAACAGTAACAGCAGCAACAGCAACAGCAACAGTAACAGCAGCAACAGCAACAGCAACAGCAACAGCAGTAACAGCAACAGCAGTAACAGCAACAAGAGGAAGAGAAGGAGGCGAAGAAGGAAGGGTATTATGTTATATACACCACCAACAGCAACAGCAACACCAACAGCAACAACACCAACAGCAACACCAACAGCAGCAGCAGCAGCAGCAGCAGCAGCAACAGCAGCAGGAGTAGAGTATACCTGTAGGGTGTATAGTATTAATAGGAGACAAATACTCCCAAAGTCTTTTGGTAACCAACGTTTTAATACCATCTTTGCTGCTGCTCTTGCTGCTGCTGCTGCTGCTGCTGTTGCTGTTGCTGCTGCTGCTGTTGCTGCACTCTTTTCTTATATGAGATTGTTACTGTTGTACAGACAGACAATGGATTTGCTGCTCCTGCTGTTGCTGCTCCTGTTGCTGCTCCTGTTGCTGCTCCTGTTGCTGCTGTTGTTGCTCTTGCTGCCCTTGCTGCTGCAGTAGAGCGAAGGGCGGCGACAAGTAGAGTGCCGATACACTGCACCATGCCAATCCTCTCTCTCTTGCTGCTGCTGTTGCTGCTGTTGCTGCTGCTGCTGTTGCTGCTGTTGCTATTATTATTATTGTTACTATTGTTTCTTCTTCTGCATCTAATAGCTTTTTTGTTGGTATTCCTCTCGAGCATAAGCTCAGGTCCCTGCTCCTGCTGCTCCTGCTGCTCCTGCTGCTGCTGTTGCTGCTGTTGCACGAACCACGGACAAGAGGAAGGTTATAAAGCAGCTGCTGCTGTTGCTGCTGTTGCTGCTGTTGCTGCTGTATAAACAGTGTTTCTGCTGTTTATCTGTTGATACAAGCAACAGGAACTGTAGCAGCAAGCAAACACCAACAGCAACAGCAAGAGCAACAGTAGCAGCAGCAGTAGCAGTAGCAGCAGCAGCAGCAGCAGCAGCCCTAGTTGTTGTCGGCAGCTGCTGTCTGTTATATTTATTATTTGTTAAGACTTTATATATATATAAATATACACCCCAATCTATAATAATACATTTTTGCTGCTGTTGCTGCTGCTGCTGCTGCTGCTGCTGCTGCTGCTGCTGCTGCTGATTGATTGCACATATGAATGAACTGGGGGCCTCTTCATGCTGCTGCTGACGCCGCCGCTGCTGCTGCTGCTGCTCCCGCTCTCCATCCATCACCCCCCTCTCTTCCTGCTGCACTGCAGCAGCAGCAGCAGCAACACCAGCATTATATTACAAATATATTTTATTGCTGCTGCAGTTGCTGCTGAAGGATTTTCTTCCAGCAGCAAATAGACATACATGCTGCTCATAGCAGCAGCAGCAGCAGCAGCAGCAGCCCTGACCTGTAGAGAGACACCTCACCGTGCAGCAGCAGCAGCAGCAACAGCAGCAGCAGCAGGTAATGCTGCAACAGCAGCAGCAACAGCAGCAGCAACATAACTCATAAACACAATCTACTCAATGGAGCTGCAAGAGCTCCTTATACACGAAGGCGTTGCCTCCTTGCTGCAGGAGCATGCAGTGGACTTTGCTGCTGCTGGCAGCAGCAGCAGCAGCAGCAGCAGCAGCAGCAACAGGAACACAGAAGGCTGCAACTGCGCACACTGTAAGACAGCAGCAGCAGCAACAGATAAGGTAAGAAGCAAAATCCCCCGCTGCTGCGTTGTTGTCCTTGCTGGTGTTATTGAGGACGCAGCAACAGCAGCAACAAAACAGCAACTGCAGCAGCAGCAACAGCAGCAGAAAC